CTTATTGTTGCAGCCATTCTACTGAATGTACTTTGCATTCTTAATTTCAATACATTCATATCACTTTTGCAGCAGGGGCCATGAAACTTTGAATAAACAGTGATTATCTTTGTTTGTCAAGTTGATTGAAAAGGGTTACTGCCATGAAGGCTGGAGCAAGCATGTAACGTAGCCTGGAAAAATGCATACATTACAGTTAAATTAAAACTGTAGATGACTTCCTGCCAAATTTCTTAGCATTTAGTAGAGAGCCACTAAGTTGATTATTGTGGTGATTTAATGTTAGCCCATGAGGCTAATTCTATGCAGTTTGTCCACTAAGCACTGCTGCTGTAGCTGTTAGCAGTCGATGCCATATACTATGCTGCACTCTGTGAGCAACTTGCTGCTTAATATCAGGTTTTACACTGAACTAGACCTGTGTATGTACTTCAGTCTCGTCTGGAAATGACCAGCCTAAAGAATGTGTTCAATATGGTCATTTGCCTCTTCAGTGTTAAGATACTCTACCTAATAATGCTTCTGTGGATGTCCATTTTCAACATGTTAACTGTTTTAACTGACTGCACAGATAATGGAAAATAAAGTAACTAGAGTTGCTATAAGTACTTTGTCTGAGTGTTTTTTTTGGGGAGGAGCTTGCTTCTAGAGCAAGGTTTTTATCTAAGCATGGAGCACTGTGCAAGAAAGCTTGTCAAAAGTCATTCTAGCTGCCTACAGCACTTAGAGAAGACTTCAACAAGAATCCGGGTAAGTATACATCCCTAAGAACAGTTTTTAAAGATGTTCTTCTGCCTTTTAAAAATTGTCACTAATTATCAACTAACCCCCCTTTCTTTTTGACCCTTTTAAGGGTGCTTTTTTGACTTCTTGGTTTGCCTACAAGCAAGTTTGCTGACTTAGAAGGCTTTTTAATCTGATATCAGATATGTACAGGAGAAGAAAATAAGCATGTTTTTCCTCCCTGATCGGCCCTGTGCTCTCTGTACGAGCCAGGGCCAGGCGTCTGCTCTGTTACAAGCTCCAGCTCCCTGCAGAGCAGTTGGTGCCAGACAAACTGCCCGTGGGAGCCAGCGTCCCTGGGCACCCCGTGCCCTGCTGAGGGCTGCTGTGCCTGCCTGGCTGTAACAGCAGCTTTCCCCGTGCTGGGGAGTGTGAATGTTTCCTGCCAGGGTTTGGAGGTCTCAGGTCAGCACAGAGTTTGTTCGCAAGCAGCATTAGCTCCAGCTCCAAACAAGGCTTCCTGCTACTCCTGCTAGGCTCTGTTCACACGGAATGCTGTTCCTGCTGCAGTGGATCCTTGCCTCCCTTGCAGTGCCCTGCCTCCTCTCAGTTAAGGATCTAATCAGAAATCTTCCGACAATTTTCTTGCTTTTTTCAAGTTATTACAGCCTCCCTATCTCGAATCATTGCCTAAATGCCAGATGATTTGCTGTTAGCTTTTACTTTTGTTGAAAAATGTCAGGCAACATCCATGCTATGGGAGAATATGTCAAATCACACCTCCTTTTGTATGCCTGTCACTTTCTTGGTGCGTGGTTTCAATTTTCAAGAATCTAAAGAGCTGTTACGTGGGGGTCCTACAAGATCCTGCTTGGAGGACTCTGGAAGAAGCAGGAGGCCTCTTGCAGTGCTGCGAATCTGAGCGTGTGGGAGGCTGCACTCGCTCTGCTGACACCGATGCTTGGTGGAGGGCACGTGACGTGAAGAGCCCTAAGATACGGTCAGCTCAGGCCCGTGGGGTGAGCAGTACCAGCGAAATTCCCCGGAGCCGATAGAGCCCCCAAGCCCACTTCATTTCCTGGTCGGGTGTCAATGCGTCTGCAAGGACGTTTGATCCTGGTGCAGCGTGGCCTTTCCAGGAGCAGACTTGAGTTGGTTTATTCCTGGTGCCCATGGAGGGGGTGCATGTTCCCAAACAACTAGTGAGAACTTCCTACTTGTAGTTCCTCTTTGAGAGCAATAAAGGGGTGAGGGAGAGGTAGAAAGCAGGGAACTGCAGGTTTCACTGTGCAAATTTGGTTCTCAGTTCTTCCCTGACTTTCTGTATAATCTCTGCTTAAACTCCTCCTGCATCACAAGGCTTATTTAACAATTGTAACCTTTAAATATTAGCAGTGACATTCGTTGCAACCTGAGCTTTTATCCTCTCTGAAGGATTCAAAGAGTGAGGGTGGACTTGATCTTGTTTATCTGTGGTCCCTAGTTCCACAGAATCCCCCCATTTCTCTTGAATACTGAATGAGGTGGACATGGGAAAACGCTGGACTGCCGTCTTAAAACCCCTGCGCTGTTCACAGTGCAGGATTTTCCAGAGGACAAACCCGGAGGAGTTGCGCAGCCGAGGGCGGCGGTGGCAGCAGGTCCCGGGCCGTCCCCTCGCCGCTGGGTGCCACGTGCCCTCGCGCTAAGGGCTCCATCCCGGCCTGCGCCGCAGCCTCCTGCGCCTTTGCTGC